GCGGGCGCTCTCGTCCCGGTCGCCGGCCGGGCCGCCGCTGGTGACCACTCGCCGCGCCGCCGGAGGCTTCACCCGCGCCCTCCCCCAGGACGCTCCCGCGGAGCTCCGGCCCCTTCGCCCGGTTCGCGGAGGCCGCAAGATGGCCTGGGTGCTCAAGATGGACGAGGTGATCGAGTCCGGGCTGGTGCACGACTTCGACGCCAGCCTCTCGGGCATCGGGCAGGAGCTGGGCGCCGGCGCCTACAGCATGAGGTACGGGGCGCCGCGGGTCGGGCGGGTGGCGGGCGGAAGCCTCTTTCCCCTTGGGAAAGGCCTGCATGACCCTGGGCCTTTGCCAGGCTCGGCTGCGATCAGGGGTGTCCCGGCTTCCCCTGCCGCGTGGCCATCAGAACAGAGCCATGGAGCCTCGGAGGCCTCTGCGGCCGGTGTAGGAGGGCTGCCCCGCTAGCTTGGGCCGGGGAACCAAGCCTGAGGGCTTCATTTTTTAATTTTTTTTATTTTTTATTTTTTTTGCTATAAGACAGTCTGGCAGGATGGCTAGGTTGTTGGGGGAAGAGGCTTCTTTTCCTTGGAAGCAATTTACGAGTCACTTAGAGCTGAAGACAGTACGAAATGGTAGGACTTATATTGGGAAAATACTCTCCAAGGTGTAGTATTAGTTCCCACTCTGTTCTACATTGTAGTTTTTCCTAGTTGCAATTTTTAATCACTTGATAATACAATAGTAATTATATCTGAAAGCAACCGCAGAGGCGAGACGCACATTAACTTAGTTATGGTTTTTATTTTCTCAAAGTGAAATTTTTATCTTGGGGGCTACCCTCAGACTGTTTTCTTTTGAAGAAAGCTTTAAGATGCAATGATTGCCCCACATACAGTAATGTTTAGTATCAAGTGTTTAGTATCTCTAATGTCTGTATTAAAATTATTCATTTTGAAACTGATCTGGCCTTTAACCTGAAGAATACTGTTTTTTAACTCCTGTCAGTTTGGCAACCCTTTTTATTAGCTTTATTGACTGTAAGTTCACCTGATTAAAGTATAAAATTTAATGGTTTGGCAGCTTTTCGTTAATGTGAATTAAGTGAGATTTTCCAAAAATGTTTTTAAAGTAATGTCTAACGTCTTTGAACTGCTGTCCGGTTTCCCAGGATCTCTGAGCTCTAGGGGAAGGACAGGGAACATAAATGTCCTGAAAAAGAAAGACTCCTGTGTCGGAGCAGGACTGGGATGTTTAAGGCTCTCCCTGAAGTAGTCAGCTTTTAAATCTTATGGGGAAACTCTGGGCGATAAAGAACTCCCAGACAGGTGAAGGTGTTTCTTAGGGCGAAGAAGTGCTTGAAGGAAATCCTTCGCTCACCAGTCTCTGACCCTGATTCTGGCCGTGCTCGTCTCCCTGAACTTGGCACTTCTTTCTCTGCAGTTGTGCAGCTTTAGGGTTCTGGATGAGGTGCCTTACTTTCTGAGACAACTGTCCCAGTTGTTGAGGAAATTGAGCTACCAAAAGTCTTAGGGGTTAACTCAGGTGGGAATACTAGGGGCAGTGATTTCCTTGTGAAAAGGTGGGCCTCAAGGGCCATTGCTATTCCACGAGACCCTGGACTTTCAATTAAAGGACAGGTGAAGCAAATTCAGTGGTCTCCAGTTGCTTCTCAGTTCTCAAGTATGTCAAAATGAAAGCTTGCTGCTGAGAACTTTGCTTGTTGAGGGTTATTTTGAGCTTTTAGTTTTTTCTCTAGAGTTTTGTTTTAGTGATTTGGCCAACTAATGAATTTTTTTTTGTTTATAGTTTATTTTGTGAAAAGAAAATCTTGGTATGAAACCTTCTTAAAGTAATGTCTGACATTTATAATTCTGTGTCTTTTACACCACTTTCCACGGGGAAACATTTTTTATTGAATGTTTTTGGTTATAAAGTATGTGTCACTTAATCTAAATTTCCAAGTATCTTTGAAGGCAAATATCATTTTTGTTATTTTTTTAAATAAATTTTTGGTATGAGTTTGCTCATACCAAACCCATGAGAGTACTAGCCTCTTGCAAATTCAAGACCCTTTGTTTGGAATTCAAATTCAGGAAATTCCAAAATTGATTTTATATGGCAAAAGTCTGAAGAGTGAAGGCTGTTGCTGGCCTTCGTTGATTGCACTTGCCCCTGCCCCATCTGGACCTGGAGCTCTGGGAGGGCTAGTATCAAATGGGAAGTAAGTCTACTGATGCCTGTTTTTCTCTCTTATTTGTTCTCTCAAGTTCAAGAAGTAAACTCGAGGTGCTAAACTTGAAATTATTTGAAAAGTGACTTCTTGATAAAAATTTACTTTGTAGGTCGTTTTGCATTTTTCTTTCAAAGTGAAGTGTGCTTACAGTTTGCTTTTGGATGGATTAAAATGATGGATTTTTATTAGGAAATGCTTTCTTCAGCTTTTTGGGTGGCTAGTTTGAAAGAATCTGACTTAAAAATATATTTGCATTAAATAATGTAGGTTGATAGTATTGGGGTATGTGGAGGCTGATTTTTGATGTTACCTTTGTTTCCCTCTTTTTCCTTTGCTTAGGTTCTCGTGTGTGTGCGTGTGCGCGCGTGCGTTCTTCAGTATGTACTGTTGTACCACATTTGTATGAGGTAGCAGCTGTTGCAGATTCTATATGGCAGAGCATAAATATTTTTTAAAATTGTAGTTACAATATCAGGATTCTAGAGATGAATGAAGAGACCTTAGAAAACTAATAGACCAGTCCTTTCCTTATGAGCAGGTAAACTTAAGCTCATAGATGTTATTGATTGGCCCAAGTGGTCTGTCAGTGGCGCTACCATTCCAAGTGAAGGCTGAGTTCTCCACTCAATGAATGAAGGCTGAAACCCTTTGTAACTTGAAATCTGGGTCATTCGTGTTTTGTGAAGTAATGAGTAGATGACTAAATAACTTTAAAAAGTAAAACTCATTAAAACTGAGAGGGTCTTTTGGGCCACCTGGTAATTTTCTTTCCATCTTACTGTTCACATGAAATTTATAATCTTGAGTTCTTAAGAAGTAATGCATCTTCTTTAGATTACACATGAAAACTTTGGTATTATTACCTTACAAGGGATATTCATTGGTCTGAGCCCTGTTAAGCTTCGCTATGGTATAAATCTGTTTTGAAACAAAAGTTATACTTTGCATATTCTGAAGTGGGAGGTTCACCAATAGTTTATAGATAATTTGCTAAATCAAAACTGCTTTGAGGTGAGGACAAATTTCCTATATTAACTGATGGGTTAAAATGTCAGTTTAGAGACCTTGTGAAATAATGGCAAAATTTCAACTTCGATCAATGTTAAGTTAGTAAAAGATTATTAAGGATATGGCTTATTATGTAGCTATTAATAGCAGATGATTTTCTTTTGGTCTCATGCTAAAACAGAATGTCCTTGAGTAGGTGACATGTCTTGGAAGTGTAGAAAAATTTTAGAAACAGTAAAATTTGTAAATTTATTATAGTATGGCCTGAAACTACTTTTAGAATTGGCAATAATTTCTAAAAAACTTCTGATTTGAAAGTTTAAAAGCTTTCTAGATTTAATCTTGGCTGAATGACAGGGAAGAATTTAATAACTTGCTGATTAAAAATCATATTTCAGATTATAGTGTTCACGTTGGTTTTTAAATATATTGCCTTAAAGCAGGGATTGGCAAACCTTTTTCTGTAAAAAAGACAATAAACATTTAAGGCTTTGCAGGCCCAAGGGTCTGTCGCATTTTTTGTTTGTTTACAACCCTTTAAAAAATGTAAAAGTCATTCTTAGATTATGCTGTACAAAAACAGGCTGGCTGGATTTGGCCCTCGGATTTGCCTACCCCGGCTCTAAAGGACAAACTCTAATAATAGGCTTTGATTACTTTGGAAAAAGATTTGCTGAGTATTGAGATTTATATTCAAGAAGTAACTTTATATAGACTAAGACCTCTATCAACTAATATACTTACATTCTATTGTTTGTCCATAGATTTTATCGTGTTCAATTTTAAAAATGAGAATATCCCCTTCCACTAAAAAGTAAGATTCAATACAGTTTATATCCTTCAGTCATGGCTGTTTGAAACTTGACAGTTTTTTGATTATGGTCTCCTAAACTTGGTATGTTTCATCACAATGATACCTGTCAATTTGCCAGGACACACTTAAACATTTGCGATTTGTGGAAATACCGTCTGATGCCTCATCTTTGGTTTAGATTCTGTGATAGAATTTAAAAGAAGCTCTGTAATAATTATTTTGCGTGCTTTGGGATGTATCTAATAGGTGGATATGAAATGGTTCTGTGTTGAACTTTGGTGGTAGAGTCTTTTTTCTAAACTTTCCAAGTTTCTTTTGGAGATTGTGAAATTGATGATATTAACAAACCTAGTTTTTATTAATTTATATATTGGTAGTTGAATTTTTTATTTTAAAATAATTTTAGGTTTACAAGTTACAAAGATAGTCTAGCAGGTTGACAACCTGGCTTCTCCTACTTCCATAACCAGAGTGCAATTTTCAAAGCTGCCTTGGTGCAGTACTGTTATATTCAGGACAAAATTTGTTTGCATTTCAGTTTTTCGCCTATTGTCTTTACTTCTCTTTGATGACTTTAACAATCTTGATATTTAGTGGTCAAAGTCGTTGGTTTTTAGACACGTAAAATTTTTTGGAAGCAAAGATAGAATATACCTGTGAATACCATTTAGCTTTTAAAGGATCTCTGTCATTTTAGCATAATGACTGAGTGTAGTAGGACCTCTGTTGGTGTCATTTATTTATGGATTAATTGGTCTCAATCTAACTGTGTATTTTGTAGTATGTTCATAAACAGGAAATTTAAAACTAATTTATTTAAAATAATTACAAGCCGTCATATATTATCATAAATATTTTCTATTATAACTGTTTTCTGGAATAAAAGTTAGTGAGAAGAGTGCATTGTCTTATGCTTTTTGCAGATCTTTTTAATGTCTGGCTTAGAAAACCAAATGAATTCTCTTATCTACTATTGGAATATATTGTTTCAGTTAACATATATGAAGAAAATTCAGCTTCTTGTAGATATGTGGTTGGAAAAAAGATTACTTTAATAGCCCTTTAAAATCTGGATATTCTTCTTTGATGCTATGCCAGCACTTGACAAGTGGTAGTTTCCTAAAGTTGCAAGGTGATGTCTGAAACTATATCGATGTTTTTTTTGTAGTGTTACATTAGAATCGATTGGTCTGTCTTGTACTTTGATTGGATTT